GCTGGAGCGGTGCCCGGGCTGCGCGGCTATAGGTGAGCCCGGGCCGGGACGGGCGGAGCCCGCTGGAGGCCCCCTCCCCGCTGGGTCCGACGCTGAGCAGAGCCGCTGGCGGGAGGGTAGACGGACCGACTGACGGGAGGGATAGGAGGCGAGCAAAATGGCGCAGACTCAGGGCACCAGGAGGAAAGTCTGTTACTACTACGATGGTGAGCACCGTCCTCGCGCCGGAGGCGGGGGCGGGGCCGGGGCCGGGCCGGATCCAGGAGTGGGAGCCTGGGAGATCTGAGGGGGGAGGCTGAGACATTGGGGAGAGGCTGAGGGAGGAGGCTGGCAGGAGGACGAGGCTGCGAGAAGGAGGTAGAGGCTGAGAGAAGGAGGTCGAGGCTGAGGGCGGAGGCCGAAAAGAGGTCGGGGCTGGGGGAGGAGGCTAAGAGGAAAGGAGGTGGAGCTTGAGGGAGGAGGCTGGGGGGAAGGAGGTCGAGGCTGAGAGAGGAGGCTAAGGGGAAGGAGGTCGGAGCTGAGGAAGGAGGCCGAGGCCGAGGCCGAGGCCGAGGCCGAGAGGGTGGCCCGGGGAAGCCTGAGGTCACCTTGGTGGGGAATTCTGGAGAAGTCGGCTGTGGAGTTTGAGGGGGCCTCCTAGAGGGGAGGCTGAGTCCAAGAGGGGAGGTAGAACTTGATCGAGAAGGTTGCAGGATGACATGTTCCTGCTGAGAATCTGAAGATCTCTCACGTCCCTTTCCTTCCTCATCTGTTCCGATGAGAGGCCTGCAGGGTTCACCACCTAGTGGTCACCAATTCCCCTCCCCCTGTCTCCCAGCGGTGCCTGCAGTTGCTGCTGGGAAATGGGACCTCTGGGGTTGAGAAAAGAAGGATACAACCTGTTAAAAGACTTTTTCATTGAACAGAAATCTGTTGAGCAGCTGTTCTAGGTAGTGTTTAGGGGCTGGGGCTGTGCGACAATCAAGGCACTGCCATCTTCCTCTCAGTCTGGAGAGACTGCTCTCCACTATGAGGCTGAGAGGAAGGACAGCTCTCAGAGGGTTCTGGGAGCACAGAGAAGCACCCGCCCAGCCTGAGGTGTCAGGGAAGGAGGTGCCATCTCAGTTAGGACCTGAAGAACAGGAGTTATTAGCCAGGCCTCGGAAGGGCAAAGATAACAGAAAGCTGAAAGGTGAGAGAGAGGACAGCACCTTTAAAATGTACAGTGTGATGGAGGCATAGATTTGAGGGTACAGTGTTAGAAAGTAGGGAGCAGGGGTGAGGGAAAAGTTGCAAGTGATGAGACTGGAGAAGTAAATGCGGACCAGATCATGAAGGGTGGGGCACACTACCCTAAGGAAGTTGGACTTTATTCTGAGAGCCCTGTGAATCATTGAAGTTGTATGCAGGTTAGTGACATCATCAGATTTATACCTTAGAACTATCATCTGGGACAGAGATTAAATTCATGAATGGAAGAGTGAGGAAGAAGACAAGGTTTCTCGTTTGGGCAGTTTGATGCTGAGTGTTTGGAGAAGGCCATGTCAGTTGATAACTTAGGGTTTCATTTTTTAAAGAAATACTTGTTGAGATGTCTGGGGGATATCCAACTAGAGGTGTCCAGTAGGCAATTGGTGATTCAGGTCTGCAATTTAGAAGACAAATGAGAAGACAGACATTTTTAGTAGCTGCCAGCATGCATACATATAGGTGGTAATTTTAGTTATGGAAGAGGATGCGATCACCTCCGCATCCTATACAGGAAGTTGTATAGGATGGAAAGAGGTGAGGATCCAGGGTGAAATTCTAAGGAAGTGGATGAGAAAAAACCTAGTGTTCTTTATGGTCAGTACTCCCTTGTCATAGCACTTGTCACTGTGTATTGGAATTGCCCATTTGTTCTTACTTCTTACAGATAATAAGCTCCTTAGGGAAGGGGATCATGTCTTGTCTGCCTTTGTATGCTTGGTCCCCAAGACAGTGCCTAACTCATAATAAGTTCTGAATAAATACTTGCTGATTAATTGGATAAAGATACAGATAGAATGACCAGAGACATAAGTGAACCAGAAAGTGTTGGGTAATAGAAGCCAAAATAAGGAGGTAGTGGCCAAATCTTGGCAAGAACTGTTTCCTGTACAGGGTTTGGAACTGAAGATAAATTGCAGTAGCTTGAAGAATGAATGGATGAGTGAAGAGAAGACATCAGGTTGGACTCTTTTTAAAGGAAGCTTGTTGGAGCAGAGAGAGGATTGTTTGATAAAGAGATGTAGTGGCTGAGAGCTGAGTATTTG